GGGTGCCACGAGTACACTGACACAACACAATAAGTGTCAGGGGCCCAAGACTGTTCAACTGCCTCCCAACATACATAAGGGGGATTACCAGTAGAACCCTGGCTGTCTTCAAGAAGGCACTGGACAGGCACCTAAGTTCAGTACCTGACCAGCCGGGTTGTGGTTTGTATGTCAGTTTGTGTGCGGCCAGCAGTAACAGCCTGGTTGATTTGATTCTGATCCACCCCGAGGTCTGGTCTCAGACTGGGCCGTGGGGGCGTTGACCCCTGAAACCCTCTCCAGGTATACTTCTGGTTCTTGTTCCTGTGTCAGGGAAGCACAGGTATAGGGGAGGGTGGAGGTTGCGGTGAGGGTAAGAGCTAGTTGTGAGGGTGGATCTTGCATTGCAAGGGGTGTGGGTGTGGGTAAGAGTGGATGGGGAGCATAGGGAAGGAGGGGTTGCAGGCTGGGATAGAGAGAAGGTCATGGGAAAGGATCCTGCACTGATTGGGGGTAAGAATGGGGGTGTAGATGGGGAAGGATGGAGAATAAGATATACAGTGGACCCCCGCATAACGATCACCTCCGAATGCGACCAATTATGTAAGTGTATTTATGTAAGTGCGTTTGTACGTGTATGTTTGGGGGTCTGAAATGGACTAATCTACTTCACAATATTTCTTATGGGAACAAATTCGGTCAGTACTGGCACCTGAACATACTTCTGGAGTGAAAAAATATCGTTAACCAGGGGGTCCACTGTAGTTTGTTCTGAGTTATTGTGTTAGTGAGTGAGATTGGGGGGGAAGGGGTTGAAGGACTGTCAGAGGTTGGTGGTTCAAAAGGCAGAGCTTTCAGAAAATGGGGAGTCAGAAAATAGTCTGGTTGTCAATGATCTGTGATTACTCGTATCTAGTGTGGCAGCTAGGGCCAAGGCTCCTTCCATGTCCTCACTAGTGTTCATTGTGTCTACTACTATCTCAGACTCGAGTCATAAAACATGGATATAAATGTGTTGGGAGGATGAAATGTATCCTCTGTACAAAAAAATTCTTTCATATTAATATACAGTGGACCCCCGGTTAACGATATTTTTTCATTCCAGAAGTATGTTCAGGTGCCAGTACTGACCGAATTTGTTCCCATAAGAAATATTGTGAAGTAGATTAGTCCATTTCAGACCCCCAAACATACACGTACAAACGCACTTACATAAATACACTTACATAATTGGTCGCATTGGGAGGTGATCGTTAAGCGGGGGTCCACTGTATTCTGAGAATCCTGATTCTATGCTCTTTTAATTGAAAGGCTTATTATCATTATTATTATTAACCCTTTCAGGGTTTCAGCCGTACTAGTACGGCTTACGCGCCAGGGTCCTTGACGTACTAGTACGCATAAATTCTAGCACCTTCAAATCTAGTGAGAGAAAGCTGGTAGGCCTACATATGAAAGAATGGGTCTATGTGCTCAGTGTGCGCAGTATAAAAAAAAATCCTGCAGCAGTGCGTAATGAGAAAAAAAAAGCTTTGACCATGTTTTTCGATTAAAACAGCGACTTTGCATTGTATTTTCGTATGGTATTTATTGGTGTATTCTAGTTTTCCTGGTTTCATTTTATAGAATGGAAGACATTTTACAGATATTGAGATGATTTTGACTGGTTTTACAATGAAAAGTACCTTGAAATTGAGCTCAAAGTAGCAGAAATGTTCGATTTTTACCAAAGTTCAAAAGTAAACAAATCATGCTAAGCATCCAATACATGTCAACTGGTGAGTCTAATATTCTTTCACAAGTGCGCCGATATTATTTATACCATTTCTACACTAATGCAGTAGTCTGCATAACAGTAAATCTTCTATTTTTTTGAGAATAAAAATTCAAAATGGAAAGCAAAAGAACGTAAGAGGGGCGTGGGGACGTGACTAACGAACAGAGGAAATGTTATTTTAGTGCCAGGAATGTCTTTCTTGTTTATTCTGGACCCTATTTGGAAATTGGCATCTTTTGAAATTTGTGTGAAATTGGCAAAATTGCTAAATTCTGCCCACTGTATTGGATAGTTGAAATCGGTAAATGGGTGGTTTTTTGTACTCATTCGATAGAAAAAATGGAGTTCTAGCGAAATAGTTATGATTTTTGTCGACAAGTACACTGGAATTGGCCGAAAATAGGGCTCAAAGTGGGCAAAATCGCCGATGCGTAAGCATCATTGAGACCGCTAACTTCGCAAGAGCATAATTTCGTAAGTTTTCCATCAGATTTCATACTTTTGGTGTCATTATGATCAGGAAAAGATTATCTTTTCGTAAGAAAAAATAATTTTTTTTTTTTTTGAAATTTGGGGGACCCTGAGAACAAGTCTCTGAGAGGGCCTGTGGACCCTGAAAGGGTTAATAGGGGAAAAGGAAGCAATATGGCAGATGTTGCAAGTGTAAGGAACAGGTGGTAGATTACTTAAAGCAGTTAAAGTTTTTATGAGGATAGTAAGGCTCAAGCTAGGGTATGTAGGAGAGATCGAAAAATTTTTTCCAGTAAAGGTAGACCTTAGACAGGGATGTGTGATGTCACCAAGGATGTTAAACATATTTATAGATGGGGTTGTAAAAGAAATAAATGCTAGGGTGTTGGGGAGAGGTATGGGATTAAAAGATAAAGAATCTAATATAAAGTGGGAATTGTCACAGTTGCTTTTTGCCAATGTGTGTGTTTCTGGGAGATTCTGAAGAATTTAGGAAGGTATGTAAAAGAAAGAAATTAGAAGTGAACATAGGAAAGTAACCAAAAATTTAGATAATGAAAGTCGGGAAGTTAGGAGTGTGAAGGAAGTGAATGTGCTCTGATATTTGGCAGTGGACTGTATATGGATTGGTCTCTGAAAGATGAGGCGAACCATAGAACTAATGAGGGGAAAAAGGTGGGTGGGTGGTGCATTGAGGCATCTGTAGAAACAAAGAACATTATCCATAGAGTCAAAAAGGGGAATGTAACTGAGTATAGTGGTACCAACGGCTGGAGATGTCATGTCTGAGGGCAATGTGCGGTGTGAATATCATGCAGAGAATTTGTAGTTCAGAGAATAGGTGTTGGGTTACTGAAAGTATTATCCAGAGTACTGAGAGAGGTTACTGAGGTGGTTTGAACATTTAGAGAAGATAGAGGAAAATAGGATGACTAGGAGGTATGAATCTGTACTCAAGAAACCTTTCATGGGAAAATAATGCATACATAAAGGACTAATCTGACAGACTTTCTTGAAGAGCACCAGATAATCCATGATCCATTTTAATACTAACTTAAGCTAGGCTATTTTAAATAGGTATAGGTAATCTATATTTTTATACGTAAACTTTAGCAAGTTTTGGTTAGGTTGCTAAGATAATATTAATGCCAAAAAAAAAGTATTCCATATTAGCTCTCATGAATATACAGTTAAGTGATACATAAGATAAAGTTATCGAAAAATTTATTATGACAAATCGGCTTATTTGACTAACATTATTTATTTATTGATAAGGATGGGAACAATTAAGGTCCTTTATACTGTACAGCTATACAATTCATACATACATTAACCCTAATACAGTACATATTATATATATATATATAATTTTATATATATGATATAATATATATATATATATATATATAATATCTATATATATCTATATATTTATATTATATATATCTATTATTATATATATTATATATCTATATCTATATATTTATATTATATTATATCTATATCTATATATTATATATATATAATATATATATATATATATTATATATATATATATCTATATTATATATAATATATCTTTATAATATATATCTTATATATATATATATATATTATATATATATATATATATATTATATATATATATATATTATATATATATATATATATATTTATATATATATTTATATATATCTATATATATATCTTATCTATATATTTTATATATATATATATATATATATTATATATATATATATCTATATATTTTATATATATATATCTATATCTATATATCTATATCTATATATCTATATATATATATATATATATATATATATATATATATATATATATATATATATATATTATATCTACATTATATATATATATATATAGTACACGTATATACGTATATGTATATATATACATTTACATTCAGGGCATTTGAATACACATATTTATTTTATAACTTTTCATATAAATTAAAATTTAAAGACTGCTTATCAAGCATAAAAAGCGTATGCTGTAAGGAAAACTATTTACAAGGTACAATAACATAACAAACTTTACCTAAATCAATCAATATTAGCTATCTAATGTGGATCAATTTGTATATCATTAGACAAAAACAAAATTCAAATTGCAGATTAAGTGAATTTATGGCTTCATAATACTCTACCTGTCCCCTATTGGAGGCTCATATCAAATAATGTTGAAATATATAAGAAATCAACATCTATTTATTTTGTACATGACACAAGTTTCTGGCAAAAACTGCACATGTGATCAATTATCTTAGAGATGAACAACATATGAAGGACTGGACAGTGTCTTCATCTTCCATGTATAGAATACAATAATGAACAGTAAAATATGGTGGAAAGAAATGCAAAGACAATAACTGACTAGTCAGTGTGAGTCATGATTCGACGATGACTCTGACCAGTGGGGGTCACTGACCACATTATGATAAACATACCTTAGCATTATACCATTGCACATATCTGTAATTTCAGACACACCATATCTTGTTACAAACAAATGGAATAACACTTTAATTTTAAGGTTTCATCTGAAACAGGACTATAAGTATGAAGCATGGGTTTTAACCATTATAGTGAGGAGGCAGCTAGAGTCAGTGAAGATGTGTCTGAGGGCAATGTGTGGTGTGACTATAATGCAGAAAATTCAGTTTGGAAATTAGAAAGAGGTGCAGGGTTAAAAGTATCATCTAGAGAGCTGAGGAGGAGTTACTGAGATGGTTTGGACATTTAGAGAGGGTGGAGCTAAATAGGATGACTGCAAGGGTGTATAAATCTATAGTGGGAGGAAGGAGGGGTAGGGGTCATCCTAGGAAAGGTTGGACATGGGGTAAACTAGATTTTGTATAAAAGGGGCTTCAAAATTCAACAGATGTGTGAATGCGTGTTAGATAGGAGTGGAGACAAGAGGGTTTTATGACTTGATATGCTGTTGGAGTGTAAGGAAGGTAGCATTTATGAAGGGATTCTGGGAAACTGGTTAGGACTTGAGTCTTGGAGGTGGGATATACAATGCCTGCACTCTGAAGGGGGTGGGAATATTTCAGCTTGGAGACAGTTGGTGTTAAAAAAAAAAAAATTAAAAGGTATAAAACTTGTTTCAGGTTTATTAGAATATGGCTCAAAACACAGCCTTAACTGATATGCCAGGAGTTTTTTATACCTGCATATTACTAAGAGTTCCAGAGCCATATTTTATAAATTACTTATCTTGATAATTAAAAATAATACTGTAATTCGCAAAAAATACAATTCCATTACATTCTGCAAGGGATTCTTTTAACATAATTAAAAGATGATATAACAAGAATTTTGACTGCTCATGTGAACAATATGCAGTGCAAAATAAAAAGCAACACTTTAAAAATTTACTGACATTATATGTCCTTCAGTGTACCAGTATCAAACCTTACTGAATATTTACTAATATTCCCCTAGCTTTAAGCAAATTTACTATTATGTGATGTCATTACTATAAACATTTGTTGTATGCTATCAGAATGACTCACAAAACATATTGTGGATTTTTATTATGAGGAATTAAATGTTGATGGAATTAATTATGAGGAATTAAGTGCTGCTGTTGAAGGCTAAGAATTCACCTTCTACATAAAGCCAGGTACACCTGTATAATAAGAAATTCAATCCTGAGTAAAAAATTTTTCATAATTAAATACACCAAAAACCCAGATTAGATGATATGTGTTTAGATAGCAAGAAAATATTCTGTTACAGTGAGCTTTTTTGTTTTGTCCTTTGCACCATGTGCACACAACTCTTCAATTTAATTATGTGAAAGCCCTTATCAGACCTAAATCAGAAGTCATGGTACATCAGGTCATTTTAGTGTGCCACATCAACTATAGCAGTGGGTTATTTGGGTCCTTGGGAAAGAGGCCAAGAGACTGAAGATATGCTGCAGCAGCATTAGCTTTTGCCATTTTCTTGGTTGATGCTGCTACTGATGGCTTAAATTCTTGTCCATTCACCATCACCTTCAAAAACAGAGTTATTTTAGAATAATTATTCTTATTAACTCAGATTTTGTTAGAAAACTTTTAGGTAATCAAGGAGTACCTTTGTGGATTCTTTTATTATGTAGCAGACCTGAGGGAACTAATTCTGCAAGTAATGGGAGCTCACTGTACAATAATCATTAAATATGAAAAAATGTGAAGAACCCTAGCACACCTAAATTCAATGTAGCAAGAATGAAAAACTGTAGAATAAAACACAAAAGTTTTTGAGCAATGCCTGCCCCTCCTTCCTTACACTTTCTTATCTTTATAAAGTTTTAAATACAGTACTGTATACTATATAATACATTAATCTTTATAGGTAAAAAAGTAACTTACCACATTTGCAAAAAATCAAAATACAGTGGTACCCCGAGTTTTGTACAACTCCCAACTTGAAAAATTACGTAAGTGTATTACTGTAAGTGCTTTTATAAATGTATTTTTGGAGGTCTGAAAAGGACTAATGTAATTTACATTATTCCTTATGGGAACAAATTCGTTCTGTAACGTCACTTGAACAGCTTTCTGGAATGAATTATGGCTGAAACTCAGGGTACCACTGTATAATAATACTAAGTCTTGTTTTGCAATGCATTCCCCTCCCTATTACTGTAAATATGTATTTGCTTGTATAAATTTATTTTATGCACCTGAGTTTCCTTCATCAACTCATGGTCCTCCAGCAATTTATCAAGGAGTTAATCTGGAAAACTCCAAGTCAACTTTTTTCTTGCTTTAAACAAGAGGTATCTCTTTTGTTGAATATATTATGGTAGAAAATTCTATAATTTGTTATTTTTACAAAGGGTAAATAGAGATAGGCAAAAAGTCCAAGATGAAACAATGCATCAAAGTGTATATGTATAGAAACTAATAGAAGTTAGTTACAATTATGATCTAACCTTCATGAGGAAATTCTTCTTGTGATCTGGTCCACAGTCAAACACCATCTCAAAATCTGGTGGAGACCACTTTCGCTTTGAGCAAAGCTCAACCAAGGCTGAAACTGGATGCTTGCCTGAAAATATAAAGCTCATTTGAGCAGGTGAAACTAAGGATGAAGGGACACATGCAGTATAATGTGATCTTTTAATGATAATATTTTGCCTGTGCAGTGCAATTTAACAAGTCACAGAGAAACATGCAAGAGCATGTTTCTCTGTTTTTGACTTGAATGAGCATGTTTGTGACATGCATGAGTTTCTCTGTTTTTGACTTGAAAAATCCCACTGCATGGAAGAAACATTGTCAATAAATTATCACATTATACTGCACGTGTCTTCATCGATCGTGTCGGTATTTTATACCACTTCTCTCCAGGTGAAATTAAGCTGAAAATAAACTTTCTGAAATTATTTTATCAGTAGATTACAATTACTGTACATGCATGGGGAAGGACTAAACCCTCAAGGGTAATACAGCACCTAGAGAACTAGAGGTAATCAGGTTTGATCCAAAGGGAAGGGTAGCTCCAGTTCCTTGGACCAAGAGCCCTTTATAATATCAAGGTAGCCCCCCCGAAAGAGGAATTTGCTAGAACAATTGTAAACACAGCTCACCGGAAAGATCCTTGGCTAGTGGTATTGGCTGTTTCTTTGGTGTGAGTTCCTCTTGGGCATGAAAACCTGAAAATGTGAATAAGCATTTTTGTAATATATGGTTTACTGTGATTCCTCAGTACTTGTGAGTGTTGTATCAACAAAACTGCCTATGAGTAAATTTTATTACTGTATATGCTAGTTCCTATGATATACGACCTCACAGATTTCCAACAGGCATATACTATTTAATCCCATCACACAAAGTACTACTAGTATATATGATGAGTAAGACATACATGCTACAATTGGGTATCTTTATTGTTAAAATGTTTTGCTTTCAAAGTAGGCTTCCTCAGTCAAATACAGAGGCAGCAGGTGTAGAAGTGAACTGAAGATGATGTAATCTGTCCATTAACCTTGGAGAAATAGTATTTGAGGTGGCCAGTCCCTCAGAAATAGTATTTGAGGTGGGCAGTCCCTCAGACTGACCACCTCAATTACTATTTCTCCAAGGTTGATGGAATGATTACATCATCATTTCACTACTACACCTGCTGCCTTTGTATCTGACTGAAGAAGCCTACTCTGTAGGCAAAATGTTTTGACAATAAAGATACCCAACTGCTGCACATGTGTGTCACTCATCAACTTGTCAGTAATGTAGATAAATGGTTCAGAGAACCGACAAGTTGATAAATTACACATGTGTGCAACACATGTTGCATGTGTCCAATTTATCAACTTGTCGGTATTGTATACCATTTTCAACATAATAGTATAGTGGGACAGTAAAACAAGTTTGTTAATGTACGATGTCACATAAACCACGTTGTAAAGTGCCCCTTGTACTAATTTACTGTTGTGTACTAAGGATTGTATGTATTACTATGTTGGTTAACCTAAAATTCCTACCCAAATTGTTGTGCTAGTAATTTTCTTTCTGAAGAAACTCCAAAGTTTTGTGTGTCTACTTTGGATGAAAACAAGAAATACCTGTCACTTTGTAAAAGTACCTTAAATAAAAGTGAGGAGAAATAATGGGAATACCTGGAACTGATCATTATTTACTTCATACAGGCTATCTTGTTGTAATGATGCAGGTTTGTAGGCTCAGTGCTATACACTATTACAATGACTGATAATAAATAAGTTCCTGTAAAGGACATAAATTGTAATTATACTGTATATTTCAGTGTTTTGGCAGAACACTGATGAATTTTGTGGCAAAAAACCAGTCTTCATCAAGCTTAAGAGATATTCAAAGCTGAAGCTTATCAGAAAAACCCTAAGCTAACCACTTTTATCATTCCTGTAATTGTGTTTGTAATCATTGTTTTTTCTAATCTAACACTCCTAACTAACAAAAGCTAATAAATAATCCAATTTGGATATGTGTTTAGTCACACAACTTACAACACTAGGTTAAAGAGATACCTCACTTACTATAATCAGTAACATTCCACAAACTTATTAAAATAATTTACCCATTACTCAATCACTCACTGCACTCAATATCTCTGATAAATATACTCTTGATTGGTTTTTGCAAGTTTTCCTACTCCTGTGCTATAATCACCACAATAATAAAATAAATTTATACAAGAACAGGTCTTAAACCCATTTAAAAAGACTAATATATAGAAAGATACAGGTTCTTTTAACCAAGCTTGATGGATGTTTATTATCCAGTGGTTTATGGAAATTGTAGCACCAATTAGTGGTGCCTCACGCATAATTTGATCCCTCCTCAATGGGATCAATACACACAAATACGCACAAAAAAACACACACGTGGGAAGTTCTCATTACTGTTATATTTTTCTCACAAACTGCATTGAAGATGAAATAGCATACCAGAAAAAATGAAACGAATATCTACCTTTCTTGTCCATCTTGACATCCAGCAGCAGGGGCTCGATAGTTCCTTCCTTGTTCTTACCCAGCCCTTCCCCAGGGGACCAGCCCATTTTCTGCAGCATTTTGAGACCAAACTGTGGTCTTACAGGTGCAGCTTCCTTGAACTGTTCCTAGAGGGGTCATGAGGGATCATGAGGGAACATAAGGATAGTACAGATTAGTGTTTGTAGTACACAAAGCCACAACTCTAGCAAGAAACTGCTTTACTGTCTAGGTAAACACTATAAAGCCTTAGCTGTATAACACTCCTCCCTTGCAATCTATAATAGATGAATGATCTCGTACTGTATTCATGAGGCTATGTGGTCTTTAAAGACAACATCTGAGTTACACCAATAATTGTGTTATAAACTTTTCAATGTTTTGTAGCCATGACGGAAGATGTAATGTAGATAGTGTTACAGATGTACTGAGGATGGATTGTGAGAATACTTCACAAGATTAGTGCAACATCTATTTGCATGAAACAGTGTTCTTTAACAATGTGTGTGTGTTCTGTTTTGCAACTGAGCCAGGAATGTATACATATTTTTGTTACAAGAACTCCCATTACTACATATAAGTAAATTAGAGTGTGCTCCCAGCAAACAAATTTTGTGCCAACCATATGCTTCACCAACCCTTCAAGGGGCAAAATGCCTTAATTCTGCTGAAGGACTCTTGTGCCAAGGAAGCCACCCTCCCTTTCCTCAGATCAAACTTTATCTCCAATACTCTAAGTACTATGTGAGTCCTGGAGGTGGGAAGTACAGTGCCTGCACTCTGAAGTAGGGGTGGGGATATTTGTAGTTTTGATCTGTAGTATCAGTGCCCCTCTGACAAGACAGTGATGGAATGAGTGATGGTGAAAATGTTTCTTTTCTTTTGGGTCAACCTACCCCTATGGGGGATGGCCGGTTTGTTGAAAATAATAAGGTAGTGTGTCAGGTTTAAAGTATATCGACTAGACGTGGAAACTCCCTAAAACAGAGATGGGATTTGCACCTTGATGTATCTTTTACACAATACCGTACCACACAAATAATCCAATACGTAGATGGATTAGGGCAACATGTTAATCATGTAAAAGAAACATTTCCTAGGTAGTAGGTTGGTAGATAGCAACCGCCCAGGGAGGTACTACCGTCCTGCTAAGTGAGTGTAAAACGAAAGCCTGTAATTGTTTTACATGATGGTAGGATTGCTGGTGTCCTTTTTCTGTCTCATGAACATGCAAGATTTCAGGTACGTCTTGCTACTTCTACTTACACTTAGGTCACACGACACATGTATGTACAGGCATATATATACACACACCCCTCTGGGTTTTCTTCTATTTTCTTTCTAGTTCTTGCTCTTGTTTATTTCCTCTTACCTCCATGGGGAAGTGGAACAGAATTCTTCCTCCGTAAGCCATGCATGTTGTAAGAGGCGACTAAAATGCCGGGAGCAAGGGGCTAGTAACCCTTTCTCCTGTATAGATTACTAAATTTAAAAGGAGAAACTTTTGTTTTTCTTTTTGGGCCACCCTGCCTCGGTGGGATATGGCCAGTTTGTTGAAAAAAAAAAAAAAAACATTCAAAGCAAGCATCAGTCCAAGTTGCTAGATGCAGTAGATGAACCAGACAAGCTACCCAAAATATTTTATTTTCAGGTGTCCTGCACTATCACATCAGTAGCACCATCACCAACTGCTAGCACACCAGCCTATTCTGGCACTCCAACTAGTCATCCCTTGACCCCTGATAGTGTGATGCATACTGATCTTTATAGCCCTGTGGAACTTTGCTTATGTTCACTAAATATAACAGTGCCATAGCCTAAATTGAATAAGGTTAATTCAGAAGACACTCACGTACTCTCTGAGACATCACATCTAATTTGTTGTTTGCCACTGCTTTACGTATATATGTTCAGTAAGATTAACTACATTAACTATGCCTATGCTACTGCTAGGGTGCCACAATAGCATTTGTTATAGTGTGCAGTACGGGTATTTTTAATGAATTTTTATTAATTTTCTTCAGTAAAATTAGACATTTTGATATGGGGTGCTCATCTATGATTGAGACTTGGATCTAATGAGCCAAAATTACTTCTTTCTGGTGTATAACACTGTTTTATAAGAAATGTGCTGAGTTGTAAATTTTACAACCTATCAACTACTTATGGGTTATTAAAACCGCAATCTACCTAGATAATAACAAAAACAGAACCAAAAACACTGTTAAGAGACGACTTTTTCATGCAAATGGGCTTTGTGACCACTCTAAGCATAGTGTGTTAAGTATTGCAGGAAACTGTGAGTAGCATAGGGTACTTGTATATGTTATGGTACTATCAGTAGCTGTGAAGTGTCTTCTGAGTAGCATAGTGTAGTAGTGTGGGGCACTGTGGGCAGAAAGATCACCTGCACATGTTAGGGCACAGTGTGGTGCATTATGAGCTGTGTAGGGCACTGTGTGCAGCACAAACACCTGAGCATGTTATAGTACTAGATACTATAGTGTTTGAATAGTATGGTGCAATATGGGTAGTGTAGTGGCACTGCGGGCAGATGCACGTGACATGGAAATACCCCACTGATAAAAGAAAAAGTCCTTGTATCTTCAGCATTTAATGGTCTTTATTAGTGTACAATAAAATATTTTATCAAATAAATTGTTAAAATAACATTAATATTTTGGGGGGAGCACTACACCCATAGGGGTAATGCAGCACCTGGGAATAGGTAAGGTATTCAGGCTTGATTCAAAGAATTGGAGCACAGGCCCAATTCTTTATATCAAGAGCCCCTCACCAGCATCAAAGAACATTCCTTAAGGAGAACAAAAGCAATAGATGGGAGTATTTGATAAAGCCAAGGATCTAGCTGAAGGTCAAGGTACAGAATCATGCTAGCTGGGAAGGAACATAGCCCAGTTCTCCCTATTTAATATTAAGTTCACAGTTTGTGCGTTCAGATATTATGGACAGCTACTGAATGAGTATTGATGAATGCATTTCCTTCTTTGGGTCATTTTACCTTGGTGGCAAATATACACAAATAACCCGCACATAAAAGAGAGGAGCTTACGACGACGTTTCGGTCCGACTTGGACCATTGACAAAGTCACACAGTGTGACTTTGTCAATGGTCCAAGTCGGACTGAAACGTCGTCGTAAGCTTCTCTCTTTTATGTGCGGGTTATCTGTGTATCGTTCCAGTCACGGTATTGTGCCTTTTTTTGTTATTTATTGGTGGCAAATGGTTGATGTAGTAAAAAAATAAAAAGCCAGAGCCTAACTGCTGCAGATTGCAAGGAATGAGTGTACCTAATTCTCATATTCATTGGATTTAAATGATCTTTATCACTGTCATGGTAACACAGAGACTTTAAAATCAGAATGACAGCTTGGCACTTCTTTTAGAGTTTTGGTTACAAAAACGTATCCTAACAACTCAATAAGAAATCAAACATTTTGACTAGAGCAGTTCAGATTCATATGTCTTTCTTATATTAATATTACTTATACAAGTCTACTGCAGTGACTAAGTCTCACATTTCAGTAATTCTCTCTCTCTAAAAAATTAAAGAAAATAATATTTTGTATTTTATAAATTAACAACTACCACATGGAATATAAGTTGTGCAGAGTCTAAAGAGCTTTATTTATACAAGAACAACCACTAAGGATACACTAACAACAATAAGCATTATCATGTTTCTAGGATATATAAATTTCAAACAAACAGATAAATACTCTCCCCATATACTGAAGAAGGAGCAAGTATCTTAACCTTCGCTGCCTTTATCATATTTTGTAAAAAGATATTGTAGTTTGAAAATGAAATTTTTTTTTTTACGTTATTTAAAGACTTTAATTTGAAAATTTCTTTCATAAACAAAAGTCTGTTAAGAATAACCTACAGAAAAGAATTTAGTTGCCAATTTCCAAAGCATGAAATTCTTGCCTACATGAGAGCATTACTTGTACCTTGAGACTCACCAAAATGACGACTCACTCACCCGTCACCAGCCGCTGCCAGATAACACCTTAGGCCCCACAGCTGTCTGTTGCCAGAACCCGGATGCACTAATGAGATGGAGTGGAGACTTGGGGGGGGATCTGTAACAAGCTCTCTCTTCACTGGGCCCAAGAGGGAAAGCCAGAGGGATTTTTCCCTTATGATTCATCCTGCCAAGATGTACTCTTACGAACTCTCATATTCTCTTTTAAGACTTGTCACTACTCATGATTGTTGGAGATTTCAAATATTTTATATTATCAAAAATCCCAATTAATAGTAAGATGAGAGCTTGTTATAGACCCCATTCACGACAGACTAGGGGTCAGTGTACCAGTGGTCCCACTGGCCCCTATCCTGCGTAAATACTGTTGAGATAACCATATATTGGTTTAAATTATTTAACTTGAGTGCCAACACTACTAGGAACCAAGATATGTGATGAACCCAGGAGACATTTGAACAAATTAAAACTGTTCACTGGAAAAAAACAATAAAATTATACATTTTTTATGAAGACAACTGCTTCAGAATTGGAAAATGATGTCTATAATGATTTAAATTGAGCTAAAAACAAAATATAAGGCAAAAAGTTTTATGTCACAGCAAGGTCCATCGATATCATGGTCCTTAGTAGTGTCTGTAGACTCAGGTATCCTCTTGCAGTGTGGCAGGACATCGCAGCAGCAGAGATGATTTTCCCAGCAGCTTGGCATCGGTGCTGACAAGTTGGAACCTGAAACACAACAGTCTGGGGGCTGGAGTGGACCAGAGGTCGAGTCAAATACCCCCGAGGAGGTAATACTTCCTTACTAACAATTAACCATGACCTGTTTAATCTAACCAATTGTAATACTAAAACACACTGTTTACCAACATCAAGTCTAGTGATGATCAACAAAAATTATAAAGAGAAAGCTGGATACAATGAGCACTTCATGGGAACTGAACAAAATATGTAACTGAAATATATCTATAAGCATCTATGGCTTTCATTGGGAAATTATGTCCCCATGGGCCACCCAATCAAGCTTCCTGTACATGAATAAAATCTAAAAATACAGTAACAATTTAGAGAAGCCTACATTTGATATATATAAGTATGAATATATATATATCAGA